TGTGACCGGCTGCCAACCAGACTTCCCTGTTTTCCACAACTTCACGCTGTTCACTACAGCATTTAAGCATTTTAAGTATTTAAGCATTTAAAAAAGTTTAAAATTATCATTAAAAGCACAGATCAATCTAATAAAAATTAGGTTGAAATAAGTAACAGAATCCTAAGACAATTCTGCAAATACTTAATATTTACTGCTATATCATTAGTTGTAACCCAGATGTGCTTTGAACAGTATTCTTCTCTAGAGCAGAGAGCTCTTACCTCCAGAAGAGAGTAAGGGGAGTCCTCGGACAGAAATGTGTTAGCTGCACACTCCTTCCATGCTTGAACTTCTGACACCAAGGACTCCAGCCTCGGCAGGTAGTCCAGATGCACGGGAATAGATCGACCTCTTGTGACAAGTTCCACTAGCGTGTCCAGTACAGGCACACGTCCTCCAACCTGAAACATTGTCAATTAAAAGATGTTTGACTTATGGAAGACATAGCACTCCCATGAATCACAGCAAGTCACTTAGACTGACTGAAGGTAGAGCTAGCAAATAGAATTTACTGCTTAGACACCCGAGTCACTTCCACAGCTGTTATTCCAACATTTGTGCTCCGGTCATTATGTACAGAGTCAAAACTAGTCACACATTTGAGGAAAAAAAGAAAAGAATACACTTACCAAATGACAGTTGAAAAAAGAAAGAAAAAGAGACTGCCAACAACATAAGCAGACTCCCAACCTAACAATCTGCAATCACAGCAGAAAATCAAAATTCTTTTGCAATAGACCCCGAAGGCAAGTCTAACCCAGTTCCCAGCACACCAAGAGCAAGGAACTCTCCCCCAAATCCAGCGTGCTGTTTGAATGCGAGCTCCGTTCATTCACTTAACAGCCTACGCTTAAGGCAACCCAGCTCCAAGGGGTCCAGCAGGAAAGCAGCACTGAGAAGTAACTTCTAAAAGAGGCAGTGATGTGGGACTCTAGAACTATTTCAGAACAACCCCAACATCTCTAGCAGCAAACCTCAAAGCACTGATACCAAGAACTTCCTGCAAGTGACAATGGCTGCAGGCATTTATTAAAATCTTCACAGAACTGAAGCAAACACTCTTGGCATATGCAGACCTTTTTCCATATCCAGTACGCAGAATCTCAGAATCCAAAGCAAGAAATTAGCAAATGCCAAGGCCAATTACTCAAGATTGCCCTCAAACAAAAGTTAGTATTACACAAACTTAGTTCTTTCAAAATTTTAAAGCCCAGGACAATTATTTTTTTAAATAAAAGCTTCTTGACTCAAGAAACATTTTTATTAAACGCCAAATTTAGTTCAGATAGGCTTGAAAATACTAGTAAGACAGACCAGAGTTCACTCTATGGAAAAAACATGAGGACAAATGAAAATTTAAGATGATATTTAGCAATGTGAAAATCTAAGTGTGAACTCGGCTGTCCCAGTCCCACCCTTTCCTGATCTGTGCAGTCCCACTGACCCCGGCTCAAGTACTTGTGAGGCTGAGCCATGAACCACTTCAAAGAGTTGGTCCAGGCTACGATTACTCACCCGGGCTTGAACTAGCCCAAGTGTGGGATCTGGCTGCCTGAGCAATCATGCTAACAGAAGAGGGGAAGCCTAAAGAGGGGATAAAGTGGTTAAGGCCAGGCTGGATGAGGCTTGGAACAACCTGGTCTAGTGGAAGGTGTCCCTGCCCATGGCAGGGGGGTTGGAACTAGATGAGCTTTAAGGTCCCTTCCAACCCAAACCATCCTGTGATTCTATAAATTAAGCTGCCACTGAACTGTAAAAGAAGCAACAAACTTCAAAAATACAAGAAGGGAAACTGGGTCCACAAACAAAAACTCTCTAAAAGGTTAAGAAAAGTTCCAACAGAACTACTACAAAATTACAATTATTTCAGTCTGTGAAATCAAAGGCTGACCATACAGGTACTGAACAAACAGCCTTGATCTTGGCCATTCTTAGTGGTTAACAAACGAGGGAATACCTCTCAATCCCAGGATGTCTGAACAATCACTAAGTGATAGAGCTGTGGAAACAACAAAAGAATTCTAAGGGGCCTCTGAAGAGGTGATTCCACAACCAGTAAGTATTACTACATTTGTACCATCGGGTCCTGGTGAGACGTTACCTGCCGCGCAGGCTGGGAGGCACGCGCCAGCAAGGTGCATTCGCAACTTAAGAAAATACAAAGACAGGACACTTGTCTGACCAGGAGTATTCCTGGATCTGGCAATCCTGGGGGTTTGCTAGAAGATGCTAGAGGAAGATTATTTGTTTAGCCAAGCAAACGAAGGCTGTGAAAAGATGTGTTGGTGACAAATACTCCAGGGGATTTGTTTACTCAAGAGCCAGCAGACCTTCTGCAGCTATAAGCTATACTATCAAAGATGATCATCATCTTATTGCACTCCTGTAACACATCCTGTGGAGCAGGTGACACGGTTGAAGGTCTTTAAGGCCCCTTCCCACCCAAACCATTCTACAATTCTATGATTCTACGAAGCACCAAGTGCACACAAAAGCGTGCCAAGCGTGGGTCTGGTAACCTGACAGCAGTTACCAGCACTCGCCTAGAGCCAACAGGACAGTTCACGTACCTGCAGAGCTTCCACTTCCTGCAGCCAGTCTCTGGCCTTCTGCACCGCGTCCTTCAGGGCCGCGCCATTCGGGAGATAGGCTGGGATCTCCTCTATTTCTTTCACTGCTGCTACAAGGCTGCTCAGGGACTGCCGTGGCCTACATAAACAAAGCACCTCAATATAAAGCACTGCAATACAGCTGGGGCTCATCTACTCTTCTGGCTTATTAAAGCCAAAGGGTTACACCAACTACTGACATTATGTCCACTACTAGAGATGTTACTGCACAGCCAGGCATTAGTAATGCAGGTCCAGTGCCTGACTGCTTTCAGCAGTTTGCTTGCTACTCCTACTAGAAATGCTGAAATGTTGAGGAATCTGTTGACTATTTTTTCAGTATTCGCACATTTGGGCTTAAGGGATATTTAACATTCATTAACGTTTGAATGATAGACCCTTGGATCCTCCTTGATCCTCAAAATGGTACCAACTAAGAGATTCCACACTAGAAAGTTAAAGAAGTGCAGGTGGCTTTTCTGTATTTCTCAGTTTGATTCTGATGTTTTAGAAAAGTACAAATTCACCTGTATCTCAATTTTGGAGGGTAAACCGAAGCTTATTCCAGTTTTGTGCTCTACAAAGTTATGATTTTAAAATAGTATGGTACTAATGAGTAAGAAACCCTCAAATGCTTTCATAGTTATGAGGTTGTGGCAAAAATTTAAAAAGCAAAAGAATTTAAAAAAATCAGGCATCCTGAAGGAAGAAACTTTGCATACAAGTTTGCATCACCTTGCTAAAACTTTAACTAGACTGTGCTCACCCCCATTTTACTTTATATATCTGAAGGTCAAAACAATGAACAAGAAAATTTTTCTCAGGAAGGATGTATTTGTCTTATTTCCTTCTCCCCTGCAGCAACCAATCTGGAAAAATCTCCTCAGTGTTAGAAATAGTCCATGTAACAAAATTTCACCAGCTGGTGGTATATATCTAAGCTCCATCTGGACATGCTCTACTCTGACACTGGGGGAGGGAAGAAGGTAGAAAGGAAGGAAGAGGTGTCTTAAAACCCCTCCTTGTGACAAAAGGAGAGCTTGCACAATGACAGTGAAGCACCACAAACGCTGCAAGGCAACATCAGCATTTAAAATTGCTCAGCCAATATCCCCCCTCTCCATCCTTCCCCCTTCTGGATGGCACAGATTTTGCCTTCGTGTTGTGAACTGTATGAACAAAAGAGCCCCCTTCAGAAGCAAAGCCAACTATTTCCACCTGAAACAGCTTGTGGAACTACAGAAGAACACCAAGATTTAGCTTCTACCTGGCCTTTATCAGATTTCTGGCTTTGTCATCCCAGTGTTCAGACACAGTAAGCAGCTCCTGCAGCTTTGCCATTGCCTTCTCAACCGCTGGGTAGGGAGCGAGTCCGACACCTGAGTCTATAAGACGTCTCATATCATCTAGACTGAGAGAGTTTTGGTCTGAGGAAGCCAGTTGCACATCCTCGAGCCAGTGTGCCTGTTCCAGGCGTATTCGCAGTTCAGCCAGTTGGGGTAGATCAACATCGAAGTCAAAGCTGACATCCAACAGCTCCTGAAGTTCTGCAGCACTAGGCATTTCTTCAGAAAGGAGTTTTTGGCTTTGCTGTTGAAATGCTTCCACACGATCAAGTAGATCCTGAAACACACAAATGCAACTATAAATCAGAAGAAAACCCATTGCCAAATCTCTTAAATGCGTAAGCTAAAACATTAAGGGTAAAGCTTCATGGCAGAGACCACACTGCCACACACGCAGTGTGCGCTGTAAATTACCATGACATTTGGAACACTTCATGTGTCTCCAACACACAGTGTTCATGTCAGCATCTCCTCATACATTATGTGTCTACCAGCTTGAGGAAAGGAATCCCACTCCAATCTCCTTTGAACTCAGAGATGGGTGTCAAAAAGAGGTCTCAGAAGAATAGAGGAAAGGGAAAAGGAAAATTTTAATTGTTTCATCAATGCTGTTTTCTGGCTTTGCTCTGGAATGACTAAGGCAGCTGAAGAACAGCAAGACTAAGGCAGCTTTGAAGAATACTGGGATGCCCATGAAGCTACTTGGGTTCACTTCTGCTGCGCCGTTAAGGTTTCTGAGCTGGACCACACAGTCCCTGTAAGCCACAGGCATTTTACTCTCTCACGCAGTGGAACACCTTCTCTCTCCAGATGTTCAACAGATAATTACCTCAAAATTGAAAGTGGGGAGGTTTAGATTAGATATCAGGAAGAAGTTCTTCCCGGAGAGGGTGGGGAGGCACTGGGACAGGTTGCCCAGAGAAGCTTTGGATGCCCCATGCCTGGAAGTGTCCAAGACCAGGTTGGATGAGGCTTGGAACTAGATGATCTTTAAGGGCGCTTTCAACCCAAGCGATTCCATGATTCTATGATTCTAAAAAGGTACCTCTGTAGCTGTTTGCACGTCACCCAGGATAATGGGCACTTAGCCAGAGTAAGCTCACTGCAAAGGCTGGAATTATTCTGTACCTAGCAACCCTGCCCAATGCTTCCAGTACTGGCTGAAATGCTATTCCAGCAGCAAGTTCTTCCTTCACAGCTGACATCTTGGTCTTTTGCCAATGAGGTTGTTTGCCAGGGTAGGCAATCTCACCCGAAACGGAATAAAGCCTTTTAAGAGACATATTAAATTGTGAACAGATCTCCCGTAACTGTTGGTGATTTATACTAACAGCCTAATTTGCATGACTACACATAATTTAGTATTGTTGAGAAGGATATAAAAGAATACCCTGAACATATGTGTTTGATATTTCCCTGTTCAAGAACGCCAGATGGAGAAGAACTGTTTGCATGCCTGGCATTTCTGAACTTCTGCTTTTTAAACAGTTAGATAACTTCACAGGCTTATAATACTATAAACAAATAACTGTAAACAGAATTACATAAGTATGATTCACACATTCCAGACCTGATAAGGCTTCAAAAACAATAGTCACAAAGCTGAGTTGAACTGGTCTATTCTGATTGAAACACTTAGAGGATACTGTCTAGTCTCTCAGCCTTGTGTGAACACTTAAGAGATGGTTCAGGAGCTGGCCACTGCAAAGCCATTCTCCTTTAAGACAAGAATTGCAGCTGCCCAGACTGTTCTATTGGTATGCAAGTGTGGCACGCAACTTTTCAGCAAATTCTGAAAGCAAATCTTGAATTACTTTTAACTTGTCTGAAGGCTGATCATCTGGTGAGCAGATAATCAGCACTAGCTGATGGCTGTGGGAGACACAGGGAACTGAGTCACCGCTGGCAGCAGGTACCCTGCTAGAACATCTGTTTAGGTAGCTCAGGCTGGTAGCTAGGGTTAGCTAGAGCCCGTAGTGACAGGACAAGGGTAATGGTGTTAAAAGAGGGGAGGTTTAGACTAGATATTAGGAAGAAGTTTTTTTACAATGAGGGTGGTGAGGCACGGGGACAGGTTGCCCAGAGATGTTGTGGATGCCCCATCCCTGGAAGTGTCCAAGGCCAGGCTGGATGAGGCTTTGAGCAACCTGGTCTAGTGGAAGGTGTCCCTGCCCATGGCAGGGGGGGTGGACTAGGTGACCTTTAAAGGTCCCTCCAACCCAAGCCATTCTATGATTATATGATCTGTGCCACCCCCTGGAACGTGCGATGATAGCACAAGAGGTATCTGATTACAAGACTATGAGAAAGGTGAATCTGGATTGACAAAGAAGGAAAGCGGTATGAATGGCAGAACTGTCACTCAGAGCATTATGGAGCTTTGAATGGTCCCCGATAAACCCATCTTCACTCTTCAAAGGAGACCAGGTAACGGACCCTAAACTTTTGATCTGTAGTTACCCAGGTCATCCTGCTGCTTCTGCATTACTTTATAAACATTAACACTTTGATTCCTCTACGTAGTATAAAAATCTACTGACAACAAACACCAACAGGTCAGAGAGCTCCATTCTTAAGTGACCCATGCACCAATTACCCAGGCCTGCCAGTTTAGAGGTGTTTATTCTTGGAGGAAAAAGAAAGATAGAGATTAATGCAAATATGCCACTGACACATGCTCATATTCTTTCCCCTAGAATTTTCCAAATTACCTTCAGTAGCGGTGTCTGACTGAGGACACAGGGCAGAGCATACAGCTGCCTCACAAACAACCGGAGCTCATTCACAGTCAGCTGATTTTGACACTTTCCTCCTCCGGAGCGGTACCTGCAATTACACACAATTCCACTTTGTTGGATGCCAGTAAAAAAAAAAAAAAAAAAAAAAAAAAGAATCTAAACTTCTCAAAAATCTGCTTATGATTTCTTGTAAGTCAAACTTTACTCACAATAATAGAATATTCAAAAGCATCCAGGCACCCTAAGGCTTACACACACTGGAAAACTTCAGTTAGCTATAGCAGAATAAGCTATTGTTGGAAACACTCT